TTTACGTGAAGTCCATAGCCATTGAGCGCCAAACTTCTCATTTTAACCGCTATGTCGTCGATAGACTCGTAGACACTATCTCTGGAATCAATGCACTGAAGAATTTTCTTGCCGTGAGTCCAGACTATCTCCGAAACGGGTGACCAGTTCTGCGTTTTTATCGGCAAATACACAAAAATTAATAATAGATTTTAATCAATACAATGATTTGCAAACCAAAGTAATCCTATCGGCGACTGTAATATCACGCAAAGAACCGGAAGGCGTGACGACAATCATTCGTGACTCGTGTGACGGATGCCATGAAAATGAAGATAATTTTGATTTATTAGACACTAAAATAAGAGAAATTAAACACTTTATTAAACACAAGATTTTCAAGACATTTGATAATGTTTTAACACAATATTGCTTACAATCGTATGGATTAATAATTCGGTCAATGATTGTGGGCTCTAAATCATTGTTAGCGTTCACGTAATCCTTGATATCAAAGAGTTTGATACCGGAGGCGTCTTTGATAAGTGAGGCCAACATATTAGATCTCGTCGGACACCACTCGATCTTAACAATATTGCGGGGTTCGGGACCGATAGTGGTCACCGGTTTCTCCACATTTCGTATGTCCCAAACGAATATATTATTCTTTAAACATAACAATCAATTTATTAATATTTAATAAATAGCGAAACAATTGTTTGATTACTTCGTAAAAAGAGGCGAATCTATTGTCATAATAGGGATCCAAAGCGAGTCCGTAAACGCCTTTAGTGAGAGTGGCCTTCGGTTTACCGGAATCTCTCAAATCAAATATCTTTAAGTGTTTGTTATTCATTCCGCAGACAATTGTGTGCTTTTGATAGGAAAACCATTTCAACGAATGGGTCAGCTCTCCGAAGCCCAACTCATACAACGGCTTCTGGTAATAGGATTGAGTGCTCTCTGCCATTGCGTTGGACTGTCTTTGGACGTCCCAAACGAGTGTCGCGAAGTCGTTGCGAAACTTATCGAAACCGGCGCTCAACTGATTTCATATAACAAATTGTAAACTTATGTTTTTAAGCCACGGATTTATTAATGTATTTCATACCAGATTGGGATCCGTTTGACTCCAGTCAAGACAATTGCATTGTCGCGCGTGTTTCGGCACAAACTCTCGGCCAACGACTCCGGAATTGTCCGCATTATAGCGAAAACACGTGAGCAGTACTTTGCCAGAGGTCTGGCCGGTGGCCAACAGGACATCGTTCTCCAAATGAATCGTTTTGGGATTACATGCTATGCACTGAACGAATACAGTGCGACAAAAAACGGATCAATTAATCAGTCAAATCACACCATAGATCAAAGTCAAAGACACCCGTACTTTAACAAACTGGACGTCACCGTTGGTGGCAATGATGTTAGCGATCGTATTGTCCGATATCTGTGTCCCGGCTATCGGGGTGTCCGCCAAACACATGCAAAGACCATCTCATTAGACATATCACACCAAACAATGACATCGAAAAACATACCGAAACTCTTGAGCAACTCTTTGCCAATGGATTCGCATTGAAATAGTTTTAAATCGTTTGCAAATGTTATGAATCTGAAGACCGGATCAAATCGAGACAAACAATTAACAGACTTCTCAGACAAGTGTTACAAAGAGTTACACGTGTTGTCACTCGACATACCTGTCCTGAAATGGTGTCCAATTGATGTCCACTTTGATTACAGACATAATTATCTATTAATTATAATTAAATCTATTATTTATTGCTTTTTATTATTAAATAAATTGTTTACAAAAAAATATTTATCAAAAAATCATAAATAAATACAATGTAATGCAATGCCAAACAGTACTCAATGTTCAATGATATCGTTACGAATAAACACACTTTTAGTGACCCCTTAAACACTCATTACATTATAAACAACAAGAAATACCCGCAATAAAAACCCCTATTAACCGTAACGTTATATAATAACGTGATTTATTGTGACCTATACTGCTATCTACTGGAAATACAGCCCAAGTTCAGAATTTAATTAACATTTTATAATGGGTTATCTGCAAAACTATATACCACTCGACGTTTTGAGCCCTTTTATAGCAATAATATTGCATTTATTTTACACATAAAACACTTATCAACAAAAGGGTACGAATGCTAACAATCAGTTCACTGTTTACTATCCATACAAACCAAATGTGAATTGAATTTAAACGTTAAATACAATGAAAATTGCATTTAATTTAATCACATATTAATTGCATTGAATTAAAGAGACAATCGCTTCCATCGACAACGAAGACATCAGCGGACACTTCGGCGGATCAATCGGTGACACTACCAGTGAATGTCACCTCCAATTGGTCTCCCATTCTTGCGGCCATCGTTTGCCGCAAAACAGTGTTATTTTTATTGACAATTAAAAGACAATTGAATTGAATTGAAAGCACATCCGGTGTCGCCATGTCTTTGGCACCGATGACACCGCTCTCGACGACCAGCGCTCCCATCGAGATGTCGTCCGAACAACAGATCAATACTTACCGCTCGTATGTCTCACTTCTATTGGATCCAAACGCCAGGGAAGAGAACAAACTGAAGGCCGTCCAGGAGTTGAGCGAAGACTTAGAGGTATTGTCCACTGATTCTCCGCGGATCAGATCCGCAGACACTCTTGAGTTAGAGTCTTAACATTGTTTAAT